CCCACTCCCGTTCTCTCTCCCTTACACACACACACACACACACACACACACACACACACACACACACACACACACACACACACACACACACAATTCCTCAGAGTGAACTTTTGCCAACTGTACCAGGCTGGGACATTCCTTGCATCAAACAACTTTTACCAGAAATGACTGTGATTTCCCAAGTCAGCCTCAGCCATACCTCTCTAGTGCCCCCTACAGGACATTTTTGGAAGCACTATCCTGGGAATGTATTTTTCCAGTCTCAGGCTGTTAAAACTGGTTAGTTTTCCCAAATTCTTAGAATTTTTCTTTTTATTTAAGGCAAATAAATGCCATATATTTAGCAATAGCTAACTATAAACAGCTTGAATTAAAAGTTTCTTTTTAAGAAAAATATTATGTTGTTTTCTTTGTTTTAAATAAAGCCTGATTGGGAAAGGGGTGCTTTTCTCTGTTCACCGGGGTCCCCTCCACATGTTGTTTTCTTGACTCTTGTGTGGGGACATGCTAGAAGAGTGGGAGATGCAAATTAAGAGTCTTCTGCTTTTTTCTCTTTTTTGTTTTTCCATGACCTTACAGATGTTGTATATCTAGGATCAGACAGAATGTTAACCCAGGAATGTATCTGTTCCGTTGATTCTTGGTGGTGGAAGTGCACTCCATTTTTTCATCACCATCAGAGTGAAATAGCAATCAGGAACTGTCTGAGTGACAGTTGAATTTTCCTTTCCAAACCCCAGTGCATTTCCATTGTATTTCTGCCTGTCTTATATTCAGGGTGAGTGTAAAATTTGAGAGCTTGAGGGTTTGTGTGTGCATATGAGTGTGCGTGTGCGTGTGCGTGTGTTACTACAAACACATCAGAACCTACACATCGCTCTTCATTGTTGTTTTCTCCGTCCTTGCTGCTTTGGGGGACACTGAGGCCGCTGGGCTCAAAGGCTTTGCAACAAATGCTCTTTTGGAATTGTTTTTACTGTGTTTAGGAAATTCTCCCTGATAACATATCTTCCTTTGAAAGGTGAATTTGATATTTGAAAATTACTAAGAGGTCTTTGGAGTTAAGTCTTACATATGAAGTCTGAATGGACAGTCTGGGGGCCAGCACAGAGTGAGACCCTAAGTCCTATTGGCTTCAGTGTTCCAAGCCCACAAAAATGGCCCATTGCTGACACAGCATCTCTGCCATTGATACCTTGGGCATTGTTTCTTTGTTAAACAGAAATCAAGACACTAGTTTTGAGAATGAAGGAAGCTAACTTTCTGGTTTATATGTTGAAAGAAAAAATAATAGCTTCATTGCTGGGTGGATATGTCTCATCTCTATCACATATAGTCAGAGGCAGGAGGATCTCTGAGTTCAAGGCCAGCCTAATCCCAACCCTGGTCATATTGACTGCAGAGGGCGAAGGATCAGTGATATTAGGAAAGGCTTCCCGAGTGTATTCTTGTGTTCAGGAGCAGGGCTCTCACCAGAAAGAGCAACGGATCCAGGACATCTAGGGATAACTCCACAGCCATCTCTGCCCGTCTTTTCTCTCTGCTGCTTGCTTTCCTTCACCTTGGCCATGAGGTACCACAGGCTAGATTGGTTCTCTCAGTGGAACTGGTGCAGAGATGATGGGGTAACCTGTGATACATTTGTATAGTGTAAAGTTTGGAAATTGTGAGTTCTTAGCAGCAGTTTCCATTGTGACATAAATGGAATTTCCTCAGAAAAGAAAGGTCAGAGTTCAAGGTGATGGCCAGTGTAGCTGCTATACTACAGACTTTGGAAGGCACCCTGTGTTCCAGTGAACACAACACTTACCCGATGTTGGTGTTGGGACTC